CACACACACACACACACACAGGGGGCTCTTGTGGCCTAGAGGTTAAGGTGTTCACCTCTCATTCAATAGGTTCCGGGTTCGAACCCAGATAGCGACGGAAATGTTTCTTCTTTAAAAAGTGTCTTCTTTCACCTCCTTTCCAGCTCTCTGGCAATGTTCCCTTTCTGCCCCCACCGCCTCACCCCCTTTGCCCCCTCCTCTGGGCTCCTGGCTCTTTCTGCTGCTACTCCTTGGCTCCTTCTTACTGCTGTCTTTCAGCCACACCCCTGATCTTCTGGTTGGAAAGATCTACACCAAGCCTTCTCGGACAAGGGTGAAAAATCTCGGATTTTCCGTTTGCAAGCTGCGCACGAAAAAGATCCCTTGGTGGTCCAAAATCGATAAGAGTAGGCTTCCGCCGCCACCCCGGCAAAATTCAAAATTTCCTACCAACTGAAAATGTTTAATGTGTCCCTCGCGCTCATATGACCTTATAGTGCAGTTGCTAGCGCCGTAAAACACGGTTAAAAAACAAAGACACCCCCCCTCCCCCCACACACACGCACACACAGACATACACATACACTTCTCCCCTCGTTCATACTTTCCTTCTCGCTCTCACTTTTTGTAACACGCCCCTCCCTTTCACCTTCCTTGAATTGGCAGAAGTCTGGAGTTCAGAATGTTGAATGACGAAGACTTTGTTACGTGTATCGAATAAAAGCCTGCTTAGGCTTAGGTCACTGGAAATGTTCGGTACCGCCATGCTGCCGCCTGCCTGTCTTGCTGAGTCACGGGTGTAGAATAGAGTATCGCGTCGATTATTGTATGTGTGTTAGTGCAATACGCTTTGGTGCATTAATGGCCTAAAAGTACTTTTTAGAAGACGATTTTTTGTATGTTAGATGAAATAACTTTGTGAGTGTGTGTAGTGTATTACTGATACATCTCTATACTAATACTTTTGGAGGTGGTAAACTCTTTGCTATTGTTTGTAGATATGTTGTAATACTTTGTTTTTTCTCAAAATGGCTGTGTGTGTATGTGTGTGTGTACGTGTGTGTGGTATGTGTGTTTTATATTGAAATTGTTGCTACAAACTACTTTGAGGGAAATCCCCTTCGTGATGTATGTTATTATGTTAATATTAATATGTCCATGCTTTTCAAGTCAGCGTGTATGGGTGTGTATGTTTGTTATTCTGGCGATGTGTGACCTTTTGCTTTTGAAATGGGATTGAATATGTACGTTGTTTGTTTCGCAAAAGTGGTGTGCTGCCAGGCAAGATCATTCTTTTCATATATATGTGCAATATCGTTTAGCGAGGAGGTGT